CGTCGTCGTCGTCGTGTGTGTGTGGTGTGTGTGTGTGTGTGTGTGTGTGTGTGTGTGTGTGTGTGTGTGTGTGTGTGTGTGTGTGTGTGTGTGTGTGTGTGTGTGTGTGTGTGGGTGTGGGGCCACCTGCACCAACACAAGGCCAGGTGGAGGAGGCTCTGAGATCTGAGAGGGGAGTTCACTTTCCCCTCTTTCTATCACTGCCAAACCTCCACTTCCCCTTTCTAAAAGATGCTGCCTCTCCTGCTTCAACACAGCTGTCCTCTCTCTCTCTCTCTCTCTCTCCTTCTCTTTCCCTTTGGCGGTCCTTAAGCCTTCACAGGAGTGCTTCAAGTAAAGAAAGTGCTCAGAAAGGCTGCACTTTACTGTATTATTTAAGAGAATACCTTAATCCTGTCCATGGCATTACTTCAGACTTCGGAGTAAATGCTCTTTAATATAAACCATGTTGCAGGAGCGCTACCTAAAAGAAGAATTTAGCAGCCAACTCTAAGATGACTATGTAGCCTTTCAAAACAACAAACACTTAAGATACCACAATTGCTAACAATTGGCTGAAATGTGCAGGAAAATTAAACATAAAACCTCAAATCTACTGATGCAGAAAGCACTGGGCATACACATATACTTCAACTAGAACCAAGTTATTTGGGAACATGTTTTGCTTCTTATCTAATAAATAGTGATTTCAAAACCTATAAACTCAACTATTCGCAGTGTTGCTTTCAAAACTGCTTTGTAGGATATGTTAAACACCTTCAGTGCAGACACCCATGTTGTGTGGGTTTTCTATCCAGTTCTTTGAAGATCTTCAAATACCTCTATCTGCCCCTATGAGTTTAGATTCTAGTTCTGTTATCTGAATCTAACCCCCCGTCCTTCCCCCTGCAAACTCTCTCTCTCTCTCTCTCACAGATCTTACATTGTACTCTGGCTGGATCTCAGAGCTGGACGAGGTGCTGATGCTCTGAGCCGAGTCCTTGGAGTTTTGCTCCATCAGCTCCATATGGGGGGTATTAGGAACGCTGCCGGATACAACCGCAGCCACCCGGGGAACACTTCCAACACCTCCAGCCCTTCCAGACTGACAAAGGGAGACATAAAAGAGAGGTTTATTAGACTTAAAGGAATGAGAGCGAAAGATAGAGAAAGACATGAAAGCTACTTTTCTTTTCAGATATAATTTCCCTGAGCTTTTAAAGCCGTGGTAAGCAGTATTCTTTTGGGAGTCATTTGGCAAATATTCTATAATAAACCTTCAGCATGCTACTAGACTTCTTCAACTCCTCTCCTGGCACATTTTTCAGGCTTTTACAAAACTCTAATAATTGGTGGAAAAGCTGCTATTCCAGCATTGTAGTTGCCCTCACTAACTGTACTAAGCATAAAAAAGGAAGACCAACTAATTCAAGCGTGGCTCAAAAAGGTCAGTCAAGTACAAATACGCCTCATGCTAACTGAAGCATCGGCTAACGGTTGCTGCTAGCTCACGGCTAAAGTTAAAATGAGGCTAAACTATTAGCAACTTTTCAAACCAGAACCGGCTAAGCAGCGAGCTAAACTATTAGCAACATGTTCTTTACATATTTTTTAATGCTGATATTGAAGCTAGCTAATCACAGTGTGTCACTTTAAAGAGGTTTGAAAAGAACGAGTAGTACTTGTACAGGTTGCTGTTACTGCAAGAAGAAGAGCTGCATTAACAGGACTGTATTTAAAAAAAATTCTGTTGGTTAATTTGCCTCTTCCAAAAAAGTGCCACTTGAATAACAAAATGAAAGATTTGTATGGAATGTTTGCCCAATGACAGAGAAATAACAGCTTTAGTGTGTCAGAAGCACTTTACACCTGACGACAAGCTACAGCAAACACAGATCAAATATTGGCCACACACAGAAAGACACACACACACTCGTAATCTGCCCTTTTAAACACGGCAGCTTCTTCAAAGGTGATTTCAGTTCTTGCTTTCAACTCTGTGTTGTATCTGCATCTAACCAGGGCATCAGTATGGCATCAAATGGATTGACACAGAGAGAGTGGGTGTTTCTCAATCTCGAGTACGCTTGCTTGGTAGCGCATGTCTTCCGAGTCACTTGCTTCAGAAGCGAGGCAAGAATCCTTCCTGGCATTCGGAAAACGAAGAGTGGAACAGGCGAGCAAGTGTGCAGGTGTGCGTCATATGAGAGGCCCCGCCTTACATTTTCCGCCACAGATTTGGGGAAATTGGTCCGTGCGCAAAGCATTGTGGGGATTTTAAGACCGCGGAGTCTACACATGTGCAGCCTCGAAATTTCTCCAAACTTACGCCCGGCTCGGTAGGATTCCAAGTATGCTGGACATTGGAACAGTACTTCGGCGGCACTCGATGACGTAGTATGTTTGCACTAGTGGCTCTGGAGCAGCTTTACTCGAGATTGAGAAACACCCAGAATACTTACAAGTAAAAGGTTTGCCCTCCAGCTGTTATCAAGAGCGTTTTAAATGTGTAATCAAATACAGTCCAAAACCATATTAAAATATATCAGATTTCATATAAGAGGAGTTACTGGCAATTAACAATAAATAAAGGAAAACACACAGCCAAGTTTTTTTACTGTAATGTGTTTACAGTTTAAATGTGCAAGGGTTTAAAAGGAAGATTTATTGGTTTTTTCAGCCCTATTCAATAGATTTGGACACATTCCTCTTGTTTACACCACGATGTGGGGAAATAAAAAACAAAATTGAACTGTTGAAACCCTTTTTTTCCCACTGCTTTGCAAAAGCACCAGTAACTACAGCAAGCATGAAGGGTCAAAATAACATGTTTGTGTTTATCCTGGCTGATGAGCAGGAAGCCGATTATTTACACATTTGGAAGCACAAACAAGCAGGAAATGTAGCTTACTAAAAATGTGTTTTAAAATAAACATCACAGCCTTTGGAAATGGAAATATTTAATGTGGGGAGAACAGAAAACGGTTTGTGTGTGTGTGTTTACCAGTAACATGATGTGCTCCTGTTTGCGGCTCTGTCTGCGAGGTTTGTTGTGTGTGTGTGGCTTCAGACCGGCCTGGAAGATCGTCCTGGGTCGGGGCGTCTGCCTCAAACTCAACTGAGGCGCTCCTGCAGCTTTCTCCTGGAAACAAAGACACACAGTGGATTAATTCTCCAAGAAATCGCTTTTTTACACACTTCCTCTATGTAAGTTGTGTGTGTCTTACCTCGCTGTAGGAGTCCCAGGTAGTCTCTTCTTCCACTGACTTCTTCCTGCTTCTTTTCCTGCTTCCCTCCAAACACTGGTTACCATCTGACAAGAGAAAACAACAGAAGGTTCGACAGATGGCCCGAAAGAAACCCAATATTTTCAAGATATCGGGCTAGACAGTCACATACTGTATTCTTTGTTGTTTTGCTTCTGTAACACAGCATGTCCAAAGCAAAACGACACTATAACAATTAAGGGTTACATTCTAGCCTTAAAGATATCACAATCTATGTTGATGTCGCTTGTTGATGGTGAATGAAAATTCTTCAGTGCTTGCTATATAAAATGAGAAAGCAGATGCAAAAGAGGTTTAGCTTCTTGCATCCATTGTTGATTTGCCTCTTATCAAAATGCTATATAGATCTTTCTGTTGATTAATTTCTTGTTCATATCCTTCAAGCTGCTGTGTTTTGGACTGAATTTCTACCTCAGCTTTTTGTAGGTAGGTAGCCAAATGTGCTCTCCAACTCACTCTTCAAACCAATGATTTCACCCAACATTTCTCTCTGAAAATTGAAGAAAATAAGAACATTCATGACCATCTGATACAAACAATTAAAACAAAT